TTTCTAAAAACAAAACCTTCATCAATAAATGGGCCGTAATTAAATGGAGATAGACCTGTTCTGTCCGCTCGTGAGGATGGGGCTGTTAAAGCGTTTCACAGGAACCGTTTTAGGTTCACGAGTCCAGCAGAGGTGTTTCTTCTAGATTCTAGTCAACCTGCAGAACCTTAAGAAGTGGGTCAAAGGTACCATCAACCTTTATGGGTTTGCAATCATTTAAAGTTAATGGTGAATAATTTACTTTACCAAACCTGCCCTGGATTGACGCGTAGCCAGTTGTTGGCTTTTGCCCAGCCCCTTCTTTATTTCTAATCATTCCTGAACTCGTTTTCCTCAAACCACCTGCTGCTGTCAAAACACTCAGACGCAAAGATTTGAACGACGCTGGATTAAACTGGAACAGCGAGCTGTGTTCATTTGGTCTGTTTTCATCATGTTGATAATTAACCATCCTCTTGCACAAGTTAGTTCCTCAGGGCTCAGTATGATGCGGGGGTTGCCCACCCCTGGTCCTGGAGAGTCACTATGCAGCATGTTTTAGTTGGTTCCCTACTCCAACAAGCTTGATTCAAAGTGGAATCACCTGTTCAGCAGGTCATCAAGCTCTGCAGAGTCATGTTAGTCACCTGCTATTTAAAAATATGTGCACTGGAGCAGAGAAACAACTAAAGCATGAGGGATGGCCACCCCTCCAGGATACTGGTTCGGTTATTTGAAACTGCCAGTAAAGATACAGAAGGGAAGGATTCAGCTGCAAACCTCAGACAACGCTGACATGAAATCTAGTCCTGTTCCAAGGTCAAAATACAAAATAATTATTATAATAATGATGCACCCTTCCTAAATCAGGAACTCCAAAGTGCCTGACGTTACAATCATCCACACACTGAGGGTGATGAGCTACAACGTAGCCACAGCTGCTCTGGGACACACTGACAGAAGGGGGACCGCAGCACACAGATGCCACCGGTTCCACTGACCAGCATCAGGCAAGGATGGTGGAGTCTCTTGCCCAAGGACTCAGAGCCTAGGTTTTAACTGGCAACCCAACTGTTGTAGAGCGAACGCCCGACCCCTGAGCAACCGTCTCCCCATACACGGTTCCACAGTCCAGACTTCATGATGGCGACTCAGTGTTTGTATTAATGTAGAAAGCATTCATACAACCAGAGTGAGAAAGTCCATGAAGGTCAAACAAAAGCATTTAGTGAGGAGGAGCTGAAGGAAACGTGACGGACAGCTGCAGGAAACTAGGTTGTGTCCTAACTGAGCTGTCGGAAGTGAAAACGGAGCCCAAGAAACCTGCTTCAGGCAAAATCAGGCTCGGTAAAATCCAGAAATATAGTATTTTACAACATTTCATCGTCTAGAACATCTGGATGGTGAGGGAGGAAGATTTGTGTTGAATCGTATCAAATTAGCTGACATCAGTTTCTCAAGCTTTTTGTTTTAGTCACTTGATCTGTTTCTATTGGGCCAAACACCACAGGATGAATTTCCATCATTATGCTGGAGGTTGAATGATCTGACAAAGTACTTGTGCAGTACTTCATGTTTATGATAGTTGCTGCTTTTACCTTTTGTGTGATTGTTGTTTAACCTTTTTAACACACAAGAGACAAAAATGATCCGTTGAATGATTTTATTTTTCCATCCCTGGATTCTTGAAAACACATTTTAAAAACATGCATCCCCTTCCATCCTGCCAATCCCAGTCAGAACGAAACCAGAACCTTCAGAGAACTGGACCACATCCTGCTGCTGCCAGACAAACGAGTTTCATTAAGAGTCAGGTGAAAACAAAAACTACTTCAGGTCCCACTCGTGAGCAGCGAGGCTGCTTCCGACCATCCTAACACATCATTTTAATTACAGATGATAATGAATTATTGAATATGCTAACTGGCCACCCTTCCTCTCCCGTCCTCACCTCGGAGGTTTGTGCTGGCTGACAGAGATTCATGCATCATGCAGGATGAGTGTTATTAACCCAAACAGCTCTGAAGGAGCCGATCAGATCCAGTTGAATCTCTTTCCCTCTGCAGAAGCTGCAGGTTCTCTAAACTCTGATGGATCTGAACGGTTTTATATCATTAATGAATGCTGCATCTATGATCCATTTGGCTGATTTCCTCTGGTTTCTGTTCTGTAAAAGTCAGATCTGACCTGAATGTCAGGTGGTTCATTGTTGATTCAGCTCATGTCTCCTGCTGCTGTTCAACATCACACACGTTCTCGTCTCTGAATGTTTTAGTCTCAGGGGTCCATTCTACAGGGTCTCACCCTTCTCCCCTCAGCAGGAAGCTCTGACTGAAATATTCATCAAGCAGTGAGCTCCCAGAAAACTCCCCAAAACTTCTGTTCAGCATGACTCTGGTTGTTAATGGTGGAGATTTGAATCAGTTTTTCTTCTTTAGTCCTTTAAGCTTAATAAAGTTTATTTTCTACCTAGCTCTAACGAGTTCCTTTCAGATGGTGTTTTGTTTTACCCAGACGTGATGAAGAGATCCTGAGCATTCTGATCCTGGTCTGGAAACAGTCCAGACAACGTCATCAATGAAGAGGTTAAACGTGTGAGGGAGCAGAACCAACTATTAAACATCTCATTAGTGATCACGTTGGAGCTAAAACCAAAACATGGCCAGATCAACTGCCTTCTTTTCTGAGCTAACATCTGCTGGAAACCATTAAAACCAGCAGAAAAACCTTTCTCCACTCTGGTTCTCCCAGACCTGCCTGAGCAGCAGGTTTATTTATTTCAATCCAGAGGAGTTTTATTTCTGAGATCTGAGGATTTATTACAGATTCATTAACAAACGTATTTACTGTTCTAATAAAGGAGATTAAAAGTGTTTTCTGATCCTCTCCCCAGGTCTCTCTGGCAGCACGCTCAGCTCTCTGGGAGGAGTTTGTGTTTCTGTGCAGGAAACAAATGGCGATCAGGCTTTTTAGCACAGAGATTTATTGAGTGAAAGTTTTCATTTTAGACAAACTGATTCATAAAAACAGCAGAACAAGTCTGGAGCATGTAAACAGAACCCACTATGTTGGATTTGGTGTTTTATTCTCACAGCGGGTTCAGAAGTACGGAAGCCAGTTAGTGCCACAAAACAAAGATCCTTCTTTCTACACAACTCTGGATACTTTTAACAACCAACAAAAACTTTATTTTCTCTGTTTATTAAAACACCTTCATCCACATTGTTCACACTGAGGTCCTAAAACAGAGTTTATACATCTTTAGTGCTTTTTAATGTTTTTCTTACCAAAAATGTATTTTCTGTGAAAGGGTGGTGCAAGCACTGCAGTGGTCCCTTGCCATAACAGGTTTCATCTTTCACAGCCGCACAGTTCTGTGGATTTTTTTGTGCAATTTTCTGCTGGGTTTTAAATTCTGCATCTAAATGCGGATTTCACCGATTGCAGGCTCATGTTAGATAAACGAGGGACCACTGTAAACCATGTTTTAAACAGATCTGGGCTAGCGTGGGCTTGTGCTCGTCCAAACCTCATCACAAATTCTTACTGACAAACATTTTGAGCCATATTTATTTGGTTTTATAAGAATAAGAATGGTGTAAATATACCGTTTGTTGTGAAGCAACAGTCTTCCCTCATGTCAGGAGAGGTTTCAGAAACTTAAAGTTATTGTATTATACCAGCCAATGAAAGTTAAAAATATGGTAAACTAAGCAGTAAATTAAGAAGATTCTAATTCTGACTGATTACTGGTGGGAGAGTAAAGTTGATTGTGTCTCAAGTGTGCACAACATCATTTAAACAGCAGGGTCCCGTCCTGAGGGTCTGCGGTCCTCTACGTTATCCTGATTCATTTCACCTGACTCAAAAACACGAGTTACCCCTTCAGTGGGTCACTAGTCTCAGACCCGATTCATTCAAGTTGAGTGTTACCCCAGGTTTCCACGGGAGCCGTCAGCAGCACGTTACTGCAGCAGCACATCTTGCTCGCGTAAACTGCTGCTTGGCCCTTCCCACGAGACGCGAAGCAGCAGGGGAGCAGCTGTCACCGACAGAGCACGAAGTCACACGAGTGACTTCGTCAGTAAACACAACAACAAGCAGGAGAAAACTACAACATGGTTTGTGTTTTATGTTCTGTCCGTTTTATAATCGCCAATACGGACCTGAAAAACAAAGGAGACCGCTAGCTAGGTGATAACTTCTCACGGGGACGCACAGTTAGTAACTTTTTTAAAAGTAAAGCAACCGGAAGGCAGTACGTTCTTTATTCTGAAAATCTCGGTAGCTTCTCTCCTTTTCCGCGTCCGATTTCCTGTCTTTCCTTCCCCAAAAATGTCGAACTTGACCCGTTTCAGAGGCGTCGCGCGTAGAAAATAGAACCGGCGCGTAAAGGCCGCGACATGCTGCTTCTGAGACGCGGCCGACTCGCGCTGCTGACGGCTCCAGTGGAAAAGGTTCTGTTGACCACAGCGGTTCCTATCAGCAGCTATGACGTGCTGCTGCAGTAACGTGCTGCTGACGGCTCCCGTGGAAAGCCGGGGTTAGTCATAGCTGACAGAAACATGGAGGCTCAAACAAACCCAGGAACAATGCCTGGAAATTAGCACCAAAACATGCAGGGCTATATTCAAGGCTCGTGAGCCGTTCAGTTCACAGAACCAGGAGAACTCATTTACAACATCTGTTTTCCAGAGCTTAGGTTTGCATTATCCTTGATTGGCTTGTGTCTTTCTGACTGATTCATTTGTTTGTGTTTATGAGCTGCAAGAACTTGAAGATGGATCAATGACCAGACAGAACCGAGCAGGTGGACCCTTTAGAGGTGAGTGATGGATAATGTTGATTAAAAGCTGAAGAGAAGGAAGACACGGCAGACGTGGACGGATGCTGCTTGTTGTGTTTATGTCCCTCTTCTTCTCTCATTTGCATCTCTTCCTGCCATTAGGGATGAAACAAAGCAGGCACGTGCAGAGGGGGGGGGGGGCGGAGGGTGCTTGAGGCCCTGCCCCTTTTGTCCCATGTGCCCAAAGTGCCCCTTTGGAGGTTTAATGATTTATTTATATTTATTTATTTATAATTGTTTTATTTTTTTAAGAATTTTCTGTTTGTGCCCCCTCAACAATAACAAAAATACTAATTAATAACATTTCTGTTTAATAAAGTTATATAGCTGGCGTGAGTCACGAGACCATACCGTCTCTTCCTCACGCCAGAGCGCACAGCCGGTCACAACAAGCTGCGAGCACCCATGTTTCCTTCATGGCCGAGCGAGTGGTGCAAAGCTTTTAGGACATACATATTGATTGGGAGAAACGGACTAACACCGGTAAGTAGGATGCACACTACTATACACAGTTAATAGATTATTTTGTACATTATTAAGTTGTTTTGTGGCACTAGGTGTGTGATATATTACTAGCTGGGTGTGTGTCTGTGGCTGGGTACCGATTCTGAACCTCAGTAACTTTAGGATTAACCAAAAACATTCTGTACATAAGTACTTGTACGAAAATATTTTTTCAATCTTAAATATTGGGAATTTGCCAATAAAATGTCATTGTTGTTAACTAGGTACCGCAAAGTTGCATTCCTATTGCTGCTGCGTGTCACGTGACTAGGGTCTCACACAGCCCTGCTTCTTGTTTACACAGTCACTTCCTGGTTCGCGGACTAATAAAACTTGAACAAATTTAAAATTTAGCTACCTTTTGTGACAGGAAATAAGAAAAATACTAAAGGTAACATCCGTCACAAGTTTTGTGTTACTAAATATTCAGTCCTTGTCTGTAAATTCTGTCCAGCGTTTTAGGGAACATAGTTTTGTTTTAGATTTTAAGGTTTCTCAGCCCTTCTGGTGGGTTTTTTAGTTCACTAATACTATGCATATTCTCAAAATTTGGAGTTTATATTCGCTCTCTTTTTGAATGCTTTGTATTAAAAACATTATGTTTTAAAGATGTACATTAAAAAAAATTACTGTTTTCACAGCAAAATTATTTTATCTGTACAGTTCTCTGTTTTGCACAAAGTAGATAGTAAAACTGAATGAAAGCATAAACATTGTTTTATTCTTTATTTTTATTATAATTACTAAAGCACTATGATTAAAATAGTATGGAAATATTCTGGATCAGCATCATGAAGCAAATTATATACAGTTAGTTTTCTGGAAAAGGAATGAAATGTCCCAGTATGTGTATGCATGAGTTTTATAAGCATGAAAAAATATTTGTAAATTAATTATGATATATCATTGTACAGACATGCCTCGTAAGGACAGGAGGCGGAAGCAGCGACAGAAAGAGCTATGTGAGGCAGCTAAAGGCAGTGGGTCCCTCACCAGCTGGATAAAAAAAGAGTACAGGTAAGTTGCATCACAGCAATAAGTGTAGAAACAATAATATACACAACCCATCATGGATCATGGATTAGGTGCAAGACCTGTTAAATGTGAATAACTACATAATTCATTCATACAATAGCTGATGTTGCCTTGTTCTCAGATGGACAGCAAGTGGAGAGTGATAGATCACATGAGGAGATTGAAGACACACACACACACACGCACACACACACACACACACACACACACACACACACACACACACACACACACACAACTCTTGCTGTTTATATTTCTGTCACATTCTTATCTCTGACATAAACTCCTCTATTATCCACTAATGATTAGATTTCCATTTATTCACCACAGGTGTTGCCTCAGATATTTCTGTCTTACAGTTCTAAGAGTTTTCACCAATTTTTGCCATTTTTTTATGATCTTACATTAATTTTGTAATTGACTAACATTTCTCCTCTGTTCGTTTTACTACCTACAGTCTGAGATCAACACAGCCTTGCCCTCCAGCATCATCAGCAGCAGCAAGAGGAGCGACCCTGCAACAGCTCCATTGTACCCCATCATCAGGTAAAATAGGACAGCAATAGATCAGGAGGTGGAGCAGGTTGTCCAGTAATTGGAAGGTTGCAGGTTTGAGCCTGACTTCAATCAGAGATTGATGCTGTTGTGTCCTTGGGCAAGACACTTAACCTGCTGGTGGTGGTGGTCGGAGGGACCGGTGGTGCCTGTGCTCAGCAGCTTCACCTCTGTCAGTGCGCTCCAGAGCAGCTATGGCTACATCATAGCTCATCACCATCAGTGTGTTAATGTATGTGTGTGTGTGAATGACTGACTGTGTTGTAAGGTGCCTTGGGGGGTTGTAGAACCCTAAGAAGGCATTATACAAATACAGACCATTTACCAAAACAAGTTACTTTTGCTGTACATTGTCCTTATGGTGTATATAATGATTCACTTCCATTTTGAATGTCTAATAGATATGATTTATTATTCAGCCGGGTATACTGTGGTTATGTCATGGTGTTAGAAAATATTATTCTGTGTGCCCCTTTTTAAATCTGAGCACCCGCCCCTTCAGAGGTCTCTGCACAGCCCTGACACGAGGGATAGAGGAGATAACATTGTCAGTGGAGAAACAGTTAAAGTGACAACTAAATGAGCACAGAGAACTCAGGAAGCACAACTTCATGTAATAAAAACACATTTGTGCTTTCCTGTCTCCCGTTCTTCCACCCTCCTAGCGGCGACCCATCCCCGGCCGTGATGAATGATTAAATTCCTAAAATGCAGCAGAAATATTTTCGAGGTAGGAGAAGACGCACTTTATCCCACAGATAGATGGGATTTCACGCTCAGCTGAAAGAGACATAAAATCAGTCAAAAATTAAGCAGGGCTGAGATCAGCAGCAAGCTGTGAATCTCTAGTTAGTGCTGCGCTTTCATCATAAAGCTTCAGAGCTTTGATGCAGACATGCCTTCAATAGAAATGTGACGCTGTTCCTGTTAGGTTTTCATCTGCTGCTTGTTTGTAAGAGCGTAGGTTGTTTGAAACATCCATGTTTATCTAAACGCGCCCCCAACCAAGACGGTCTTGCTTCTTCAGAGCCACTCAAGTCAATAATTATTTCCAATCCTAAAGATGTGTCCACACCAGTCCAGTGTTTTCTTCTTCTCGCTCCTTTTTAAATAAAATGGAGAACAAACAAAAGTATCCAAACTTATTATTTTTATTTTTATTTTGGTCTGGACACCTGGATTTGGATTTACACTTTGGTCAGCGCAACCCGGGCCAGCCCATCCCCACGCACCAAGGAGTTCTTTTCCCAGCTTTCTCAGGAATTCAGATGTTTCCGAGCATGTGGGCGTGGCTACAGAGGGTGATTCTGTGGTGTCATTCCTAAGGGCCACAAGTTGAGTTGATTTGGAGGCTCTGACATGAATCACACAGCTTCCCATTCTTCTCACTGAGCAGCGGTGAGAGTTTTACCCCGCAGCATCCAGACTGATGAGTCACGCATGCAGGAAGCCACCACTGACTGATCTACTCGTGCAGGGGATTTGTTCCCTGCAGTTGCTGTACAGTTGCTCGTTGAGTGGTTGGGGTCGCTCTCCGTCAGCATAGACTGAAGATCCGAGGAACGGGTGGGGGCTGTTCAAGAGTTAGGGTTGCTTAGCCGTTGCTTGGTCTACTCTTGCCATTGCGTTAGCAACCCAGCTGGCGCCTGGCGTCACCCATGTAACTGCACCAATCAATCATAGGCTCGGTGTGCACCAGAACGACAAAACTCCAGCCGGCCAATCAGTCCATAGGTGAGTGTATATGGTCGACTCAGCACAAGACGGACCACAGGGCAGCAGGGCCAAAAAAGTAGTCTGCTCCACACAACCAACAGAGTATGCCAACGCAAATGTAACGACTTGACCAGGGCTAAACCAAGCTGACCCAAGTGTAATGTGGCGTGTTTGTCTTCTTTTGTTGTTATTTATCATTTTGTGATATTATAATTTTTTATCATTTTTTCTGTTTAAAAATATATAAAGTGTATGGTTAACCCTCTCAGGCTCAAAATAAGTTTTGATAAAAGGACGAACAACTAAGTCCTTCAGGAGTAATTCTGAGCTAAAACATGCTCATGAAATACGTGTGTGGAGTAACCAGGTAGGTAGGTTTTGACATTGCACATCTGCAACGCTTGCCTCCAGAGGGTTCATCATATATTTGAAATAACGTTCTAAATTAAATGAAATATATTGATTTTATCTCTGTTTATTAAAATATCTACTCAGCTCAAAGGTGTGTTTAAACCAACAAGTGACCAGATGCTGCAGATAAAAGTAGATATACAAACCATGATCTAATATGTTATGGAAATTTTATATTTCATTACTTTAATCCTGTTAACTAATGTATTACCTTATGCCTGAAAGCATTCTCACACTCTCTCTCTGTCTCTCTCTCTCTCTCTCTCTCTCTCTCTCTCTCTCTCTCTCTCTCTCTCTCTCTCTCTCTCTCTCTTATCTTCTTGTATAAATTAAATTCTCAGGGTAGAAACTTAATTTGTCTCCTGTCTCTCTCTAGCTGCAGGAAATGGGTTTATTGATCAAATATATTGATAAATTCCTAACAGAATAATAACATTAATCCTAAATAAATACAGAAATAGCTCTTTAAGACTACTGCTGTGGCTCAACTTGAATTTAAGACTAAACATTAAATGTGCAGCAGTACCGGGACCAGAGTGAATAGGGTGTGTATGGGGAGCATGAGTGGGTGTCCGGCGTGCATTTTTGTAAGTCTTGGGTTGTATGTGCATGTGTGAGCATGAGGGAGGGAGCGTGTGACTGTGTTTGTGTATGACTGTATATGTCAGGTGGGGCCTTTGGGTCCTCCCCTCTCCTGGGACTTCTTTTTATGATATAGATCTTCGTCTCCCCTCCCCCACCCCACACCTGGTGTGGGGTGTGGTGCCATGGTCTGCCTGAGTGTTCGTGGCGCCCAGGTCAGGGAGTTTAAGATTTTTGGCGCCTGCCTGATCGATCCCGGTGGCGGCCTGGTGGGGTCTGGGTCCCTGGGCTCTGCTGGGTCCCCGGCGGGGGTGGTCGTCCCTGGGTCCTGGGTCGCTGGGTCCCGGGCTCGGCCGGCTATGGGGTGGGAGGCTGTGGGCGGGCCTGTGGGCTTGCTGCTGAGATCTCCAGGGGCTCTGCCGGCTGCTGGTTGTGGCCCCCCGGGGCGATCCTCTGCGCCTCTCGGGGGGAGGGGGGGGGGGGGGGGGGGGGGGGCTTTCTGGTTGCAGTCTCCTTGGGGTTCCTGTGTTCTGGGGCAGCACCTGGATCTCTGGGACTTGGAGCTCCCCCCGTCTCCTACACATCTTTGGGGGGCGGATCTGTGGTCCCTCACACTCTCTGTTGGACGCTCCTATAGAGAAACCTTACATAAACAAGCGCGTGTACACACACAGGTGCTCACATGGTGCTCTCAAAAGTATGGGCTTGGGCATGTTAAACACAAGTCTTAAGACTATGGTGGGCACTTAATGCACTGTGATTTATTATCGTGATTCTTCAGTTAAGCAATGTTGATTATATATTTCTTCATCAAGTTGACGCAGTGATAGCTAGATCTCATTGTATTGTTGTTGTGTCCCTTTTTTTTCTTCTATTCTTCTCTCTTTCTGCAGGTCTAGAAGCAGACTCTTGTTCATTATTGTTTATATTTGTGGACACCCCCCCACCACCACCATCACCACCACCACCACCTTTTGTCTCTTCCTTTCTCTTTCACCTCTGTCTCCGTGTCTGGTCGGAATTACAAAGCATTCAAAAACAATAACAATACAATTTGAAGTATCAGGCGTGACATTAAAAGCAGACGCTTTGATGCTCCACCTGAGAATAAATCTGTAAGGCTTGTCACCAGCATTCAGACATCAATTCTGCTTGCTTCACAGCCAGACAGGACACGGTAAAAAAAAAAAGACTAAACATTAAAAATGGGTGATTCAAAAAGACTTGGTAGGCCTCCATGAATAGGTTTTAATGAGTGGAACACTGACACTTTTTTTATTACTTCTGATTATAAACAGTCACTGTGAGTTTTTCATCAAGGCTGAACATGAAAATAGTCTCCTACACCTATCTTCTGCTTTAGTTTCTGATAGAAAATAGACGGTGAAACTAGGATTAAAATAGTCTGACGGATCTACATCACACTGTCACTTAACATTCATGGACTCACTCATCTTGACTCACAACGGCGAAGCCTGTTGTTGGTTTATGGTTCAGGAAACAGCAGAGAACATCTTGGCTAGTGTAAAATACCCGTTAGCATCAGCAACACGACAGAACGCCTTCAGGCTTCTGTTATTTGTGAAGATCAAACATCAAACAGAGTCAGCGGTAGAGTTGCATTACAGCCACACCAAGGCGAGACGTCCAAATATTAGAAATAAGAGTCCAGATCCTGCCGTTTGAAGCTCAACTCTGATGTGGTAAATTTCCTGAAACTTGGGATTTTCCCCAAGAGTATGACTTATAAGGCATTCATTCTTACTAAGTACCACTGCAGTGTCCTGATTAAACACGTGTTCCACACTTCTAAGGGTCTACAGATGAACAGAAACACGTCAAACACCAAAGCCACCATCAGGATGAGGTCTCATGAATGAGTGGCCACCTCACATTCTCCACTCCAGCCAAACCAGCCCGGTCTATAGAATAAAGGCCCTTATTGTTGCAGGTCCAGCTTCAACCCCAGAGGAGACCAGGACTAGGCTGCTTTTGGACTAGAATGAACTTACTCCTTATGTCAAGATCTCTCCAAAGAAGTCACTTGGAACATACTAGAACATTTAAAACATGCTATAACCTTTTGGTTGTCAGTAATAACTTTTTTCTTATTAAGCTGTGTGGTACTTTAGTCAGCTGTTGCTGTTTTAGGTGTGTTTTCTAAATCAGCTGGACCTCTGATCCAGCTGAACTGGATGGACTGGGTGTTTCTTCCTCCTGTGTGGTAAGCCCTCAGCTCCCTGATGATTAAATGGGTGGTTATGAACCTCTTCCAGTTGTGGACGTCAGAGGTCAGGATGACTCTGAACAA